CCCTCAAATTCGAAATCATTTCATCATCATCAACAGAACAACCTTTAATAGTCCACTGTTGGACATCGGCCTCTCCTTAGAATGGAGGGCTTGGTCTTAGAATTTATGTAAACAACAATTAATATCGTCGCTCTTAATGATGTTCATAATTCAATTACATGTTTAGACATAAGTACTTATCAAGTGGCTAGTGGTTCATTATTTAAAAACGAAACACGACAAAGTAACTTTTGTTTGATGTCTTTGTTTTATTTTAAATAAGTAGCAACTGTATCAACAAATAAAATTTAATACTGACTCGTTTTTACAGTATGTATTACTATTTAAATACAACTGAAGGTTACACGTGCCAGCACACGTGCAGTGGCCAGTACCGTCTTTACCATAAGGGCACACTGAGCCCGTGCCCATGCCCCTATCATCACGTGGCCTCGAAAAGCGAATGCATAGAGAGATATATTCGCTTATTATACTATAATACTTTTTTTGCTTACGGTTGCCACAAAGCCGCCACAGTGGCATTTCTAATCTTTCCCAATAGGAACAGCTTCTCCGTATCGCCACCATCTAAACTTTTTTGTTGGATTGTATAATTGCCTTACTAATATCCTGTTTTTTTTTTCATTTTCAGGAATTTTATGTATTTATATAATAACAACTTACATTTTTTTACTTTTTTTAAGTTGGTGCATGTAGGGACCGTTCTAGGAACACCTGAGAAGTGGGGATAAACTAGTAATAAAGTATGTAATAAAGAAAGTAAATTTGAATATTCTCAATATTATAAATATTTAAATTAATGATAAATATAAAGGTAAATACAAATAGATAAATAATTTTAAAGTAAAATTAAATTAAATTAAAAGTTAAATTAGATAAAATTGCTAAAATTGCCTAGTTCACAATCATCATCATAAGCCTATCGCAGTCCACTGCTGGACATATGTTAGGCTTTTCCCATTGAACGCCACTTCGATCGATTTTCGGTTTCTCGCATTCAGCGCCTGCCAGACATCTTGCATAGATGGACACTCCTCCTGGCCTGTGGGCGTCCTCCACTACGTTTGCCTAGACGCGGTCTCCACTCAAGTGATCGTTTACCCCAACGGTTGTTGGTTCTGCGGCTAATATGCCCAGTCCACTGCCACTTCAGCTTGCTAATCCGGTTTGCTATGTTGATGACTGCTTCTCTGACTGATCACTTCATTCTTGATGCGATGTCTCTTAGAGACACGCCGAGCATAGCCCTTTCCATAGCACGCTGAGCTTGTGAACCAGCCGTACCGTAAGTATCCACGTTTCGGCTCCGTATGTCATGACGGGTAGGACGCACTCAAAGACTTTCGTCTTTAGACACTGTGGGATTGACGATAGGAAAACTCGACGACGCTTCCCAAACACTGCCCTATCCAACTGAATTTTTCCATTCACCTCGTCGTTGAAATTGTTTCTACCTAACTGCAATATCTGCCCGGGAACCGATTGCGTGCGGTTTAATGAACATGACTTTAGTTTTATCCAAGTTCATTCGTAGGCTGATGAGTGCAGAAGAGTCAGCCGGTCATTCAGCATCTATTGTAGGTTCTTAAGCCTATCTTCCGAGATGACGATGTCATCGCAAGTGGGAGATATATTTGCCATTGATATTGATGCCACGCAATTTCCAGTGCAGCTTCTTGAACATGTCCTCCATTGCATTTATGAACAATTTCGGGGAAATGACGTCCCCGTGTCTCACTCTTCGATGAAATGATATAGGCCTTGTTTGCCGATTCTGTACTTGGACGGATATGGTGGCAGCTTCGTAGAGACATGTCATCACGAAAAGTGTGAAGGGAAACGGGTTGATAGTTCTTCCAGTTCCAATTTAAAAAAGCCTTTTAGTTCTAGTTCGTGTTTTAAGTTCATCCTGTCCAAAACCATTTTACCAAAAATAACTATATCTGGTTCCACGCGTACCATGCTCTCCTTCTACAATAATTTGTAACCATTACGAGTAGTTATCAATTTTAATATCCTCAAGTAAAAAGTGAAAGACTATAACCAATGATAATTTAAAGAAGATACATTATATTCATAATGCACGCACAAAATAATTTTATTTTTCTTAACTGTACATACATCTATTAATGCATTTTATAACAAAACATACACTTACCTGCGGTATGATATTTCTTTATATTTTTATTTACCTTTTTGTTGTAATTTTTGCACTTTAGGAATACACAGGAAGGCATTTTATGAATTTTCTCGAATTAATTTTAATTTTTTTTACGCACTCGCTCGCAATATTCCTAAATAGGAGTTGCGTTGTTTATATCATTGACTATACTAAGATATAACCGATTTTGCACAACAGATATCTCGAAATAAATCATTGTCGTAATCGCAACCGATTAAAACCATCCATTCAAGTCTGCTTATATAATTAATACCTGTATTTATATCTGTTGTACCTATTGTATCTATATGTACCTACCTCCCTACCTACTTATTTCGTTTTACTGTCCAACAGAGCCCCAAATTCTTGTGTGCCCGGAGGCCCTGGCATGTCCTAAGACGGCCATGGCAGTGGCGGATTAACCCCAAGCCAAAGTAGGCCCGTACCCATGCGAGGTTACACAGATGCGCACGCGCAGATTTTTTTAACAAAGAAAAAATAATGCCTAACATTAAAAGAACTGTATCGGTAAGTATCATACTTACACAGTATAAACAATTCCTTAATTCTATAGACATTTTTGAGGTTCACATCTAGGATTTATATGACGTAATTGCCACTACTTCTTTGCTTTCATTTCCTAATAGGATTGAGGCTAGTGCGTGTACATTAGAATGAAGTTGCTACAACTGCAGTTGTAGTAGGGATTACTCTATAAGTTATAGTAATAGACCAGGGTTGTCCAGTCAATGTAGTGCTATACCGTGCAACGTTGTGAGCAGAAAGCTCTGATCGCTCAGAATAACAATTTGAACTTGGCTCAGCACACACTGGTTAATGTAGCGTTGGGCGCTCATTGCAGTTTCTCGTTACCACGTGCACCTGGACGGGTTTTCGACGAAGGCCTAGGGCGAGGAGTTGACGTCCTCGTGTGGCGGACGTCTTCTAATTGAGAGTTTATTCCCGAAGGTGGTGTTGTGGTGTGGTGTGTGGTTAAAGGGCAAGTGCCAGGAGGGGTCCGGCGCCGTCATCTGCCCAAGTAACCGGACCGTTCTCGGTCGGTGTAAAATGTCGGTGGTTCCGCAGGGTCGGTGTTAGGGCCGTTCCTGTGGAACATCGGCTACGACTGGGTGTTGCACTTGCCTTCTTGGATGGTGTCGTCGTCTCGTGCTACGCGGACGACACGCTCGTGACAGCGTGCAGTAAGGCGCATCGTTAGGATCCGGCGGCTGGGACTCGAGGTGTCTTTGTACAAATCTGAGGCATTATTCTTTCATGAGCAACGGAGGAGGCCACCCGAGGGCACTCTTATAGAAAGTGGCACTCACATCGACATCGAGCCCTCGATGAGGTATCTAGGGTTCATTCTGGGTCGGGATCGTGGGACTCGAGAAATCGAGGACTAGAAATCTCAACTCTGCCGGGTAATACAACCAACCAATTATAGTATAGCCAACACATTATAGTAAGTAAGTAAGAGCCGTTATGGAGGATTGGCTCAGGAGATCCTCTGTGTCTGATCCACAAGGAACCAAGGCCTGGGAGCTTCCATTGCAGTGGCCAAAGCGTGGACTCGGCGCTTGTATGGAGCAGAGGATTCTCCAGCTCCGTACCATGATTGCAGCTATGGTACGGAGCGCGAGCACCACCTTCTACGAGTAAGTTATGCTCGAGAAGGAGGGGGCGGAGCAAGAATTGAAGAGGATACATAGAACTCTCCCGGTCTGCGAGATCCGCGAACGGGCCAGGTATTGCAGGCGGCTTAGGCACCGAAGGTCGGTGAATGGCCTCCGTCCTGTATATGCGCATGCCTGGGGGTTACAGTCATCCGACGCCAAAAAAAGAAAGGTTTGGATGTCTTAACAAAAGCTCTTATAGGAACCCTCCTATTTCTATTTTACACACCGTGTGGTTTTAATGGATTCGATTCCGATACACCGTCTCACCGCAAACTCTTGTAGCGTGACAGCCCAGCATAAAGAAATGTCAACTAAAATTTGGAGTTATTACTATCACATATTAAGTAACGTCCACTAATAGCTATTGATAATATAGTATGGACGCCGATGAGATTCTTGCCGAGGGCGCTCTTCATACTTAATCTTATCTATATACTTAAGATTTTGTCTTTTCGAAGGGATTTAACGATTTTGTCTTGTGATTTTGACTAGACATGCATTTTGGTATGTCTTAGGTATTTGTAGATTTCCAAAGGTCTTTTCATATCAGTCCAAAGGTATCCGAAGTCCTGTGTATACAATGTTGACGGGTCTGCAGATGGTGCTAGCCCGAGCCACGAGAACATTCCCTTGAATTAGGGAACGTCCAACGTATTTTTAATTGCTTTTGAAAAATAAATACGTGTTACTGTGCTCAAAGTTTAATCCAGTGATAGAATACTAGTTTCTTTTTTGAACACAAGTCAAAACTGAAGAGAACACTGTACAATTTTCAATGTACTATGTTGAAAATTTATTTTCCCTTTTTAAATTATTATTTTCATTAATCAACATTTGTAATTGTTACAATTCTTTTTAATAAGATATGTAATAAGTACATATTCATATCAGATACAATACTTTATTATCAAAATATTATTTTTGTGAATAGAAATATGCTTTGTATAGTTATATTCCATCTTATACATCCGAGATGGAATCCCATGAAGAATTTTCAATATTTCTGTTGTCTTAGCCTCCTGCTGGAAGAATTTTGATTATGCATTTGTTATGTTATGTATGAACAAAGATCTTCTTCATTGAGAGTCTCAGCCGTTTATTTGGTTTTCTCAAAATTTATGAGACAATTTTTGCTTAGTCAAATAGTATAAATTGACTCCTCAAGTCCGTGAATTGCTCGCCTGATCACTATGAAAGAAAATAAAAAGTATTTGTTAAAAAATCGCGTAACCTAACAGTACTTACTTGATGATTTTTTGTGTAAGTATTTCAAGTGTCAATTTGAATAATTTAATAAAGTATTCTATCTTCTGTTACCTATACAAGAAGAAAAAACTTTAAAAAAGTTCCTTTAAATAGATTTTAATGCGTCTAGAATTTCAAAAGATTTAGGTGCCTACCTAATTACTATTTATCAACTGCACACTGGTTTACCGACCATACTTAAGTGAATACGAATATTATATAAAAAGAAAATAATAATGTTTTATTAAAATATCTATTATTCTATTAAGAAAAAAAATATACCAACAACTTTTATAAGTATTTGAGTAAAAATTAAGTCCCAAACAGTTTATGGTAAAGTTTTCTTCGTGTGCAAATTTCTTAACCTCATCATTAATTATTACATCGGAATTTAAGAAGATGCTGTCCAGAAGGTAAGTATTAGTCACTTGCCTTGACATATTTACGGTGTGCCGACGTCAAAACGATTTTATATCGTTATTCCTGGCCTTTATTCTCTCATTCATCGATCCAGTTACAATGCACTAGTGCCTGCAATACAATAAATCTGCTGAAGGAGCATAATTTTTGTTCTACTAAAGTTGGCTTCCACCAAATATTAATAACTAGACATGAGCAATTATTTATTGCTCCTAAATTTAAGTAGAAAAAGCTGCTATAAACAATACTAAGCTAAATCATTAGTTTTTTAATTACAACTTTTAAATTATCACAACAAAAGCAATACTAAGTATTAAGATATTATTAGGTTAGAATATAATGGAAACATACCTTATTTTTTTAATAAAACGAACATACCAACAAATCACATTGCATCAATAAGCATTGATGTCTTAATCATGGCACTTAGAGGACGTATATTTAAAATTCTGGAATATTCCCAAGTAGTGTTTTGTTTTATGATTTATTTTTAACTTGATTTTCAGTATTCTTGTTTTACGTTTTATTATTATTGAATGGAGAGTTATTTTACTGTATTTTCAAAATATCGTATGGAGTAAACCAGTGTGTATTATCTAGCGAAATAGGTACTCTAGAGATAATGCCGCTTTATAACAATGTTCGTATTTAACACATTTATCAAAGGTGACTATTTTGAAAATTATAGTCATGGCTTAGCGGACAACAAATAAAATTTGTAAATACGTACACAAAAACATATCTTATTATACACATTTTTTAAGGGTATATAAAGGCCCATCTTTTCAAAACTAGGTCCTATGAAACTAATAATTAATAGTAACTTACAACAGTAGCGGCACAATGTCTTCCTGTTTCATTTTACCATAATATTTGACAATGCCATCCACATGACCCATACCCACCACTGCCAAGACCCGTGGGCTGTTTACTGTGGAAAAAGAAACACTAAGAAAGAAATGTCTTTCAAAATCGTAAAATTGAATTGAATATTAATTTCAAATGCCACCTGACGTCACTTGGTCACGTCCCCAAGGCAATTGCTACAGAAAAACAAATATGAATATTGGTGTAAAGTCATATACCATTAGCTACAAGTAACTCTGGAGAAAGTAAATGTTTTTTTCATTTTATGCATATGAAACGCAATTTGAGATTGTAACACAGAACGTCACTTTCGTAAAATAAGTGCACCTAGCTCATCCTTTCTCTGCATCTTCCAATAGGTTGACTATTAGAAAAGCAATAATTAGGACTTAATGCCTATGGCATTAAGTTATAAAAAATGTGACCACCAGATCATATGCCAAAGTATTTTTTTGCAAAATTGACATAGTGCGAAAGTGTAATTATTTTCCGTAAGAAACGTCCTGCATCACAACCTGTTCAGAATAAATTAGCGAAACTTTGCCGTTAGCTTCGTCTAAAGTCCAAATAAAGACATAAATTAATGCAGTAGTCACCAATAATTAACTTGTTATAAATACTTGCCAGAACGAACACATTCTTGCAACGAATATGCTAGACACTTATCCCGCTCATCGACGAAAACGTGGAATATTTTTTTAAATGCCGGCACATCCCTTGTTATTTCCTCGAATTGTGCTTGGACAAAATCGCGATCTTTATATTTTTCCAGCTGTTGTTTGCTACGATAGGAATCCATCATTAATATTAGGAAATGTAGGTACAAAGTTTAAATAATATGCAAGCGTGCTCTAATGTGTTTCTAATTTGTGTATTTTTAGCATGAAATACCATTATAGGTACGTAGGTATCTACTAATTCAATATTTAATTATACAAGGATTCTTAAAAAAAAAGTGCATTATTAGGATACATGTGACACGTTAATTAAGTTTTCATATCATAATTCAAATTCAAATTCAAATTAGCTTTAAAACTGTAATACGTACTCTAATGGTTTTGGGTTTGACGTCGTAAGATGATACATAACTTGTCCCAATTCGTATACACTTAGAGATTGAAAAGCTCGAGCTATTGTTATTTGTATTGGTCGATCACCTAGGAATAGTTTACATCCAGGGATCTTTTTCATCTGAAAATAAATAAAAAAACCTTTTTAAGACGTTACTGAGTATCACCTTATTTTGACTATTTACTTCTTAATAAAATGATTAATTAAAATATGCAAATAGTTAACATTTTAACAAAAAGTTATCTATCAGAGGCCAAAACCCAGTCTTGAAAGTTGAAGAGTAACAATTGAATTTCATTACGAGTATGGTACTAACCTCATGGTAAGCTCTGCGGAACTCTCCTCCCGGTGCGACTCCTAGCTCTTTTGCGATATCAGCGTAGGTTTTTAATAACATTGCATGCAGCATACCAGATACAAAACTCTGACCTTTTACCGCTTCTCTAAAATGTATATAATTATTACATTGTACTTCTGTTTAGTAGTGAATCTGTACTGTAAAGTACCTACCAGATTTTCACAGTGATACAGCTGTGTCATGAGGAAGGTTTACGAGTAAATGTGGTGGTGGGCTACTGTAGAAAATGCCATGTCTTTGAAGAAATTTCAAGGCCCAAGCTATTTAATTGACTTTATAATATATCATAGTAGTCTATACATGGGCTACATGGCTAAATCTAGTGGGATCCAAACTTAAGTTTAGACCTGAAGGTCTAACTATTTCAATAATACTTTATCTGCAATGTTTATTTTTACGGTATACTACTAGCCTTTCCCCTCATGTGTTGTACACTTCTGATTTGGTGTATAATAGGTTTTATAATTTATTTATTACCCTAATGAAGGTAACCTTTATTAACCTCCTTTCTAAGGAGAGGCTTATGTCCAGCAGCGGACTATTAAAGGCTGTTGATGATGATGAATGAAGGTTTATTCCATCCTTCCTTGTGCCATTTAATTTCTCAAGTTATAACAACAAGGAGTCAAAAAAAAATGAATATATGTTAAGAAACTTACTTTAACTTCTGAGCATCAAAATTTTTGGCATCTTCTAAAAACTTTTTGTCATCTAGCTCTAGAAGTGACACTCTTTGCCGACATAATTCCACAAGAATCGCATTTGGATTCAATACTTTTACTATCTGAAAAATAAATTAGTTTTGCTCAATATTTTGTATTAATATTCTCAAAATTTATGAGCAACAGTGTATTCGTTTCAAGCCGAACTAAAGTTTATTTTTATTTAGTTTAGTTTTATTCAGCAAGCAGTGAAAATCAAATTTAGCCAAAATTAATGATATATTGCACATAGCGCTATCAAAACCCAAACCAACCTACTTAGGATTCTAGAACATGGACAAACATGCATTTTTTTTAATTTTATGGTAACATATGGCAAACGATCAGACGCTGCTGCCCATGGACACCTACATACCACTTATAAGTCATAAAGGCGTTGCCACCCTTATAACTTATGAGTCCTAAGGACGTTTATGTCCCTTCCCCCTATGAATAGAGGGAGGTCGATTTCGGGATCTGGTAATATATTGTACTTTTATAGTTACATTTCGGACATTTACCTAATATGCTTGTTTATTTTAAAATATTTTTAACCATACATTATAAACCATACTCTAATACGATAATTTATGTCCACTAACCTGTTATACCTAAGTAAGTATAAAACCTTTTATTTAAAATAAAATAAATAGAAGATATTTTAGGTATCTTACAATAGGACTCAATAATCGATAGGCTTTTGTAAGGTGATGTAAGTACATATATTTTAAAGCCAGTCAGTGGACACATATTTTAGGTAAATTTTACACCTATAGTAGTATTGTCTTTGGCATTCGATTTGTATATTGGTCTTAACTAGAAATGTATTAAGTTTGCTCGAAATATTTTTATGCGGTAAGGTGATAATCAAAAAGATTCGGATACCTTTCTTGAATAGGTACAACAATAAAACTTTTTATAGATTTGCTGTTGTTTGTAGGTATGTATAATTTAATCCGTATCTTGTGATTATTCTGCCATATCATTATAATTACCTCAGAAACATCTTCGACTGATTGTTTGCTGAAATGCACCGTTCCCAATAGCACTACCGTTCCATGCCCATCATTTTGTATAAGAGTCGCAGCAGGCGGTAATTTTAAATTGTCCGCTGAACAAAAACTTCTTGCTAATGCTGTACAAACCGCTAAAATTAAACAAAAGTTACGAAATATTAATTTGTTAATACTTTTTTAAAATAATTACAATAAATATGTATGACTTACGGTAATTTGTTCTTTGTATTTGATTATAGATTTTACCCAATTCCAGGCTTCTGTTCAACACACGTTTAGCAAGGATACATGATAGGTATATCATATTTCATGAATATTTTGAAATAAGAAAAATTGACGCATTATTGACCTAGTGTTGAAATAAGTTTAGGGAATATTATTTTTGCAAATTGTCCATATTGGTTTACTGTATAATTTATTCAGAGGCTTTGACATGACATTTAGTACAATTGGTATTTTAATTTTTCAGCCAACCACAACATAAACTTTGAAGAGGTTATAAAAGAGGACGCAAAGGATGAAAAAATTGGGCATAAATTACATAAAGCTATTTCATATCGCCTAGATTCTGGCTGGACAGAGCTGTCTGTACGGTCTAACCAGAAATACCAGGGGCTCACACATTGTACCAGGGATTTCCTTTCTAGGGTACATCTGGTTCCTCGGCTACTGGTGCCCAGAAAAAAAATGGGATCACACTTTAAAAAAATTCAATAAGTTTAGGGTACAACGATTGCGATTGGCCCGCACTGAACTTTTCACCAATCTTGATCTTGAGTTGATGTGAAATAAACTCGCACTTGGGCACATGTCTCGTAATCTCGACAATCACGTATTTAAAAAATGGATTTCCGACCCATGGATTTTCTAATTCGAGAAATAACCAATTAAGTAAACAATTTTTTTTATCCGAGGCCTAGTGATCTAGGGGGTTGATCTAGTGGTCAGTGGTCTTAGCTGCTTAGCCAGAGATCGTGAGTTCGATTCCCATTCTGGGATTTATTTATGGTATAGGGTGGCAAACGAGCAGACAGGTCACCTGATGTCAAGTAACCAGCGATGCCCATGCTCACCAGCAGCTAAGGAGCCATAAATAAATGCGTTACTTCCCTTTTCCCGATTGATGCCTCAGAAAAGACGTCTGCAACACAATGAGATGAAGAGAAAGGACACAACGAGGAGACTAACTTTCCTTATCGTGAAGCCGTTGGTGCGTTAGCATACCTTATGGTTGCGACCCGTCCTGATATTGCCTATGCTGTTGGAGTAGTATCTCGCAACTTAGAAAAGCCGACCAGAAGTGACTGGAACAGAGTGAAACGTATATTACGATACCTGAAGAGAACTACGTCTCTAGGTATAAAATACAAACCGAACACACTGAAAAGACCAGAACTTGAAGGTTTCAGCGACGCTGATTATGGTGGTGATGCTACTACCGGACGATCCACTACTGGAATCGTATGCCGATACGCAGGAGATCCTGTGTCGTGGACAAGCAAAAGACAGATTTCAGTAGCGCTGTCTACAACTGAAGATGAACTTGTGGCTGCCAGTGAAGGAGCACGAGAATTAGTTTGGCTGATTAGAATATTCGAAAACTTGACTAATAAAAAGAGTGTGCCGAATCTTCATATTGATAACGAAGCAGCTGTACTTTTGGCACACAACCCTGAGTTCCACAAGAGAACGAAGCATATACGTGTGAGACGCTTTTATGTTCGTGAACTTGTCTCTGAAGGAACCATCTTAGTTACAAGAGACCAGCTTGCAGATATAATGACCAAAGGTCTTCCGAAACCCACCTTTGATCTATTGAAATCTGCACTAGCCATAGAGTAAGAAGTGAGAGCGCCTACCTCTTTGGCACTAGTTTTGGTTTAGGGGGAGTGTTGAAAGGAGACGGCAAACCAAACTAGTACAGCCTACTTGGTGATTGTTCTTGACTAGAAGACTCATGTTTGACAAGACAGTGTAGCCTAGTAACGTTTTTTTTTAAACTTTACTCGTCAAACTGAAAGAAAAATAATACAATCGAGTCCTATACTAAAACAATTTCGGGTTTTTGTTGTAAATTAAAAAAATTTTTGTTATAAATTTTATCGAGGCTTTCCATATTAGTGCAACTACAAGACTTATTACTGTTCTTCAACCCATGGGTGTACCCAGCATTTATTTAGGGGTGGGGCAAAATTAAGAAATGTAGATAAATTGGAATTTATTCATTTATTTATATCTTTACTGTATACACTCAAAAAGAAACTAACAAAAGATGAGTCACAAATAAGTAGACGCAACAATCGGTGGTCTTATCGCTCACAGCGATCTCTTCCAGACAACCTTAACACGGATTTTGAGTATTTAACAGTTTAGGGTAGTATACATACACGTAACACATTATCACGTGAATATTTAAGAATATCAACAAATACATTCCTTCACAAATATACATCCATGTACATTACACATATACAAATACACATACATACATACACACATTGCATATTTAGAATATATAGTTTATTATATAGTGAATCTAACAGTAATTATAATGACAGATAAAAACCCTTTAATAGTTTTTTAAAAAACAGGCAAGAAAAAGATTGGTCTGCAAACTGGGTGGAATGTTTTGGCATTTTTAGTTTTAAACTCTCCGATGATGATCAGGTCCCTGCAATGTATTGTGTATAAGAACTCAAAACGGTCTTTGAGATGAGAGGGTATGTGAAGATGAAACTGTACTGTATAAAAGAGAAAGAATATGGAGATTCCGTCGAAGGCGTATTGGTTTGACCACTTGAGTTTAGAACGATACTCTGAGATGTGATCATACTTGCGTGATCCTCATATCAATCTAATACAGAGGTTTTGGAGTCGCTCAAGTTTGTTTAGTTAGTGTTTGGTGAGATCCAGGTAGCTGATGGCCGTAGTCGAGGATGGAAAGAAGAAGAGATTGTGCGAGCGCAATTTTAGTATTGGTGGGAAGGAAGTTCCGTAGCCTTCGTAGAGATCCCGCAGCTGCAAATAGTTTGAGGCTAACTTCTCCAATTTGAGGACCCTAGGATAGATACCTATCCATACAGCACTCCAAGTTTTTAACTTTTTAATATATGGGACAACCGAACCGTTGCAGGATATAAGTAGTATCTGCTAAAAGTTTATTTTACAGTGCAGCCCGGGACTTCCTACTATAATGACCTGTGTTTTCGTAGGGTTTACACCTAGTCCGTACTTCGTACTCCAGTTACATATTCGCACTAAGTCTCTGTTAATGGCATCTACTGTTTTTGTTACATGGTCTGGAGCAGCTTGTGAGTAAATGTGGAGATCATCTGCATAAAGATGGTAGGTAGAAAGTAATTGATTTGTGATTGAGTTAATAAAAACTGAAAAAAGTAACTTTGGTAACACGCCGCTCTGAGGTATGCCCATAGATGTTGTGCGCCAAGAAAAGTACACATTTGCAATCCAAACACGCTGCTGGCGACCATACAGGTAACTACGAAACCAGTCAATTGCCAATTGAGATATGTTAAGAGAGCACAATATACCCAACAAAACATCAAAATCCAGTGTTGAAGGCGTTGCTGAAGTCTAGTAAAGCAAAGACCGAGGGCCTTCCTTCATCCATTCCCGACCTAATGTCATCCGCAATATGGACAAGGGCTGTGGTAGTGCTATGGCCTGGACGGAAACCTGGCTGAAAAGGATTAAGGAGACAATTTCTTGAGAGAAATGAGCTTAACTGTGTAAATGAGACGCTCAAGAACTTTGGAGAAAAAAGGAAGGAAAGATATGGGACGGTAATCTGAGAAGGAGTCCTTCTCAGATTACCCGATTACAGTTTTTGGGGAGAGCAATGATTTGAGCCATTTTCCATGCATCTGGAAAAGCGTTGATAGATATCGAATAATTGACAATATGGCGCATTACATGTAGGAATTCATCCAGGATAGGGAGAACCATATTACGGCCAATGTTATCGCTTCCTACGGCATTGGAAACTGTTGACATTATTTTTTCTGATTATTATAAAAATATTATTATTTGTGAGCTGGGGCTTTAAATGTTTGAAGATCTTTTACGACTGCATTTGTTGATCACGAGAAAAAAATAAATGCTCAAGGCAATTTCAACATTCGGGAAACATGATGGTAAAGAAATATTTAGCAAAAGCTTGTAATCTTGCAGTCCCAGATCATCATGATTCTTGATGTCAATAATACTAGGCACATCAGAATTAAGCAATGCATTGAACTGCTCTAATTCGTCGCCCAGGCGGTCCTCCAAATCATCTGCGAAAGCATTTACATTGGTTGTAGATTTTTCAAAATTTCTTTCGATGGAAGAGATTTTAGGTCACAGAATATTTCGAAACTGCCTGTAATTTTATCATATATTTGCATACCTTTACCTAAAGCAGCGAGTACGTTATCAATGTTGTTGGACTGCACGTGTGGCGTAGTGGTTTAAGCGGTCAGCTCGCCGCTTCCTACTGAGTGTTGTGGGTTCGATACCCACATGGGACAACACTTTGTGTGATCCACAAATTGTTGTTCCGAGTCTGGGTGTCCTTTGTGTGCTTTTCGTGTATGTTTTTAAAGTCCCCCGCGACATAGGAGTGTCCTAGTGCAGTTGTAAAAGAAAAGAAAAAACATGTTGACAATAAACACCTGAATTTCGTATCCTTGTCCAGGTGTTTGATTTTCTACATAGTAGTGTATTCGAGCTTTTGCCTCAATATCTGAAAATTGCAGCTCTAGTAGCTTGCAAACGTTTTTAGATTCCGTTTCACAATCATCATCATCATCATTTGCCTACCCTTATCCCAATTTTTTTGGGGTCGGCGCAATTTGTATATTCTTCCATTCTACTTTATCATTCGTCATTTCACTATTAACTCAATTCTTAGTCTTATCCTCTTTCACACAGTCCATCCACCTTTTCTTTGGTCTTCCTTTTCTCTTGTATTGATCAACTCCCATACCTGACACTTTCCTCGCCACATTATCCTCATCCCTCCGCATGACATGTACATACCAAGATAAAATAATTACTTATTAACTTTTCATCCAGTGGCGCTACTTTCAGACTCCCTTGTATTTATTCATTCCTGATTTTGTCCATCCGAGACACCACACATCCATCTCTGCATTCGCGTTTCGGCTACGTTCAGGCGTCTCTCATTTGTTCTCCTAATGGGCCAACTTTCGGAACCATACAAGACGACAGGTCTGATGATAGGTCTATATATTTGTCCTTTTAGTTTTAAGTGCAAACTGGGGTCGCATATTGTTCAAGTTA